ACTAAAAGGTCAGCACTTTGCAAATGTGAAGTCACATGTTAAATTTTCCCCTTAAACCCAGTGTAATGACCAAATTTACTAATAGAATTTGCCCTTCCATGGTCCAAGTAATATTTAGATTCCCTGTACCCTATTATCAAATGCTCTGAAGTGCATTAAAATAGTGGATGCACTTTCAGAGACAGTTGTGCATGGATGGCACTGGGGCAGTAAATGTTGGAAAATTATTGCAAATAACTTAAGTAATTCTTCATAAATATTGAGCATTAAGAGTTTAATGTTACACTCCCTGACAACTATCAGAAATAATTAAGTGTAATGGAAGTTCACTCCCTATCAACTTGAATAAAAGGAACCACTGAGATGATAGGTAAAGTTTTAGCTTTCATAACCTGATATCTAACTCATCTCATCTTTGACTAATAGGCATTTTCAACTTAACATATCCTCAAACAAAATTCTGGTTTACCCCCAGGCTTCATACTGCAGATGTTCAGGCCAATATTTAGGAATCATCCTTTCTTTTATCCTCTCACTACCTGCCTCTACCATCCAAGTCTTATGGACATTACCTCCTGAATACAGCCTGAGCATGATCACTTCTCACATTTTATGTAGCTACCATTCTATCCTGAGCTATCTATCGTCAGTTCTCTTCTAGTATGCTGAGTTCTAATCAACTCCTTGCTTGTATTCTCCACTCTTCATAATACATTTGCCATATCACAAATCAGAACGCTCTTTTTAAAAGTAAAAATCAGATGTCAGACTCTTACTTAAATATCTCTACACATTACACAAAGAATAAAATCCAGTTTTCTTACCATGGTCTTTACTTAGCCTGATTTAGTACACTTTAGTCATGCTCCTCTTTTTCTGTTCTTGAACAAATCAAATTCATCTAAATATGGTGCCATAATATTTGCTGTATTTTTCTGTCTGAAATGTTCTTTCCCAAATTACAATGCACAAAAGCTGTTCTCAGGTTACCACCATTTCTATCTTCTTTGTTTAACAATCATAACAATAAATGTACCATCTGAAAGGAAATTTTCTAGGAGCAAAAGACAGTGGTGTATCCATAAGACTGGACACGTGTGATAGACCCTGAGTCTGGTAGTCTGGGCTGAAAATATTAAGTAAATGAATCCACTCCCTCTGGATACTAAGTTTCAGAAAATAATTAGTGCTTGGAAATTTTTGATATCTTAATCTCTCTTGGTAAGATGATATCTTAATCTCTTGGCAAGATGATCCTGTATATTTTATCAAGAAATAGACTAGAAAGTTCAACTAAGCTATGCACACACATTTACTTTTCATCCATTTAAAAAATTCTATTGAGGAGGGAGCCACGAAGGTCAACTAGAGACATAGCTTCTCAGAATGTCCTGGCTGAAGGGTAGAAGTTTAGTCTGAGGAAAGTGGAGAACAATTGCTGCTCAGTGAGGATTACAGGGAGAGACAGCAGAGGTGACCGGGAACCCCACCAAGAAGAGCTGTGAAACTGCAAAAGACTGAGAGAGAGAAGAGAGGACAGTGGAACAAGCCACATCCAGAGAGGCCTGGAGCCCAGTGAAAGGGTAAGGGGCAATCCTCTCCCCCACTTGGGTGACTCTGGGGAGGAGCGGGGCACTAAACTCTCATCCCCTGGGAGAGTGGCATGAAAGACTTGAGATCTGACATTACACCTCCTCCTCTGCACCTCCTCCATTCCTGGCATTACAGAAAGTAATTTTGGCTCAAGCCTGCTTATAGCCATGGCCCCTCCCCACCCACACCAACCCTGAGAAGGCTCGGTGCTGAGAAGCCTGTTTCTATGTGGTGGGAGCACATTGCTGCCTGAGCCCACAACTGAGAGCGGAACCACCTCAGTGGCATTTTGCAAGATCACCTGATGGCAGCTTGGACAGTTGGGCAGAACCTGGCACTCCCGCTGGACGTGAAAGCAGTGCAGAGAAAGCACGGCCCCTCCACACCCCATAGCAACCATGAGCATGCTTCATGCAGAGGGGCCTATCTCTCTGCTGTGGGTCATGATCCCAGCCAAATCGTCACTGAGAGGGAAGCCATCAGAGCTGTATGACCCAAGAGGTTCATCAAACCTGCTAGAGCACCCCAGAGGCAACTCAGGACAGGCATTTCTCTCCTTGGCATGGTTAGAGACCAGCATTTGGGGACTCGGAGACAGGTCCATAAGTCAGCCCTAGCAAGCTCAGCTCTGGATGGAGAGGTCAGATGAGAAGGAACCAGCGAAATTAATCTGGAAATATGAAAAATCAAAGTGAAAGGACATTCCCAAAAGAAAACAAAAACTCCTTACAAATGAATACAAAACTAAACAAAAAGATTGAAATAACAGATAAAGAATTTTGAATATGGATTATAAGGAAGCTCAATGAAATACAAGAGAAAATAGAAACCCCCCAAAAAGAAGTCACAAAAGCAAAGCAGAAATGAA